ATATTTCGCTAATTGTGTCTGTACTGTGAATTTGATTTACAATCGATCTCTAAATTGTAGTTTTCTTCTAATTACTTACCTTGTCTAGACGTGTTGTACGCGCACAATTAATCTATATACAACATGAAGCGATCTCCTCTCGGGTATTATACACATATTCCTAGCGTTTCAAACTTAAAGGGACCTCTTGTCATTTAAAGCACGAGAGACAATCAATAAGAGGCGCCTGTCACGCAGCCGATCGCTTCGCACGTAACCGTTACACTTTAAGAGTAGCTATTACAAACATGCAGTTCTATGCTGCGCTTCATCCGAGCCTCAAAGCATCAATGCTCAAACTACTATGCAACCTAGAAACAAACTACAGCAAACTTATTGCCCGGTGCGCATTAATCAAACAGATAAATTAAACAAACAACAAACATAAGACAACCATTCCATTATTGGAGTTACCATATTTTTCAAAAGAAATATCTCCGACAATGCCAACAAAATGTGATAACAAAAGTAAGATTAATTTTCATTTCCTTTGGCACAAATAGTTACTCAATTTCAATTTTCTATTCAACAACAAACGTAATGATCCATATAGTTACAAAAACATAGGTACACGCATCCAAAAGGCATTTCAAATTCACCTTTGTATCTACAACCGCTAACACACTATGAAACATTTCGCAGAAAAACAAAGCAAAAAAAATACCGATACAACGAACATAACATTTCGCGTGAAACCAACGATAAGCCCTAGTCTCCCCACTAACCAATTGGAGGCTACACCGCGTTTGAACCCGAATACAATAAAGCGCGAACCGTTACATAATCGCCATTCGGGTGGTACACCTTCCCTGAGACCGTCGACAATAGAACCGTTTAACAAGTGGGCTGACGATTCAAAGATCAGTGGAGGTGGCCGCTGGTAGGAGCTAGGGCGGCAGCCACCCAGTTGGAGCTGCCTCCATCAGACCGGCACTCGAACCGGGGGCACAGTAGCCCGCAAGAGAGCGCCGAGCATCGCCCGACAGGGGGCGTGACTGAACGTCCCCGCCCGTGAAAGTCGGGGGCCCGGCAGAGCCCCGAGAAAAGCACCGGTCGCACCCAGGCGCAACACGGCAAGGTGACTGCCCTGGCAGTGCAATGACATCATTACTAAATACAAAACTACTAAATACAAAATACATGCTAGATACAGTTGAATTGAATCCATCAAATTTCATCATAATGATATATCATCACACCATCAAATTGAATTCAATACAAATTACTACAAATACAAATTACTATATATCAACTCAAAACAAATTAACACAAATACAAAACGCTGGTGGTATACTTATGTTGATATATTATGTTCGCCGCAACCTCATTAAACACAAAAGTGAACCTAAAGTGGAAGGCAAATTCATGATACAAGTAAATCGATTTGAACCCAAGGCACTGAATAACGGAATGGTTCCTCCAGACTGCAATTTTGTTCAATAAACTGCACATCAATACGTTATGATGCAACTTACTTTAATTTAAATTACGTAATTAACCTTTTCAAAAATTTTCCATTGCTTCATTTAACGTGTTCGACTTAATTGTTTCATTAAAGGAAGCTGAAGAAAAATACAAAATAATGAGCAGCATTTAGTATACCTAACATAATCGACATTCTACACTGAAGGGATAAAAACATCAATATTAATAATCATTTGAAATAAATAACAAGTTACAATTCTCTTTAAAAATAACTAATAAAGTAATTAAAAACCTATCAATAAAATGTCTCGCTTATAAGAAACTGTTGTGTGATCTTTAAACCTGTCTACATCTTTATAGCTTTTATTTATTCCTTAATAAAACTCTATTTCTATTATTATATCTTTATATATAATTATTATTTCTTCATTCAAAGTTAGGCACACTTTACGTTAATTAAATCAAACACAATTTCCTCCGCGAGCACCAACTACAGTCGGTCAACGAGACGCCGTTAAGGCAACCGACTATCAAATCAAACTAATTAAATCAACACATTACTACCGAAAGCACCCACTACAGTCGGTCAACAAGACGCAACGCTAATTAATAATTATTACGCTAATAATTTAGTCAACAGTCCAAATGCAATACCAAATACACACGAACAATAATGATAATACAATAATTCACCAAATTGCAATTGCCACGCTTATGTGGCAACGGTAATTATCAACCCTACTCGACGCGTGACGGTACCTAACCTAAACACTCCGCTTACGCCACCCACGGGCGTGGCTCTAAAATCTACCTACCACCAACAAAGTAAGCGAACAAAGAAGAGAAAGAAAGAAAAAAAATCTTTATTACGTGGTTCTATACACTGATCCGCAAACAAACAACACGCGAACAAAACAAATAAAAATTATTATTACGTAGTGAGTGATTGTCGAAACAAGCAACCATGCCACCACAACACGGCCAGGCATGACGGCAGAGACCATCAACAAACCGCAACCAACAACCACGTGGTTGCAACCGCGCTCCTGCTACCAAAATTGTTACGTATTGCGCCGGGAGTGGTTGCAAACCCAATCAAGAAACCACGCTCTTGCTACCAACTTGTTACTGCCCCAGGCTGCCCTGACAATAGTCGATCGGGACTCGGGCCCATCAGGAATCCCACTCGACGGGTAACAAAGAGAGGGTCCAAAGACCTGTGGAATATTAAGCTATAGCGGTTAACAAAGAACCAAACAAAAGTTACCGTTCGTCGACCGATTCGTAACCATAGGAAGAATCAGGCGGAATAGTGAGTGTGTGTGAGTCGTGTTCAGTACGTGTTCAATGTGTAATCTGACATCCCCGCTGGTTGCAGAACAGCAGATCCAAAGGCGTCGCCTCCTTCAAATATGGGATCCATCTAAGAGGCATGCAGCCATAGAACACTTCCGTTTCTAGGAAAACTATGTTCGTTTATCACTTATTATTTATTGTCCAATTAATTATCTTCAAGTTAATCCAATCAAGTCCAACAACGTTTAACCGAGACACGCGGTACAATTCAAGGACGGCTGGTCAAAGTTCAATGTCACAGGCCAACGTAGCACAAACTACCACCGCGTCGGTTCAATTAACTGCATAAAAGGTCCTTTAATCACTACAAATTCCTATCGATGAAAATAGACACTAAATTCGAGGCGGTCTAGGTTATATCCTAATATTCAATAATATATTCAAATGGCGCGCTCCATTAACACAGTTCTCGACGCCGGCGAATGCCGGCGTCCCGGCGCGTGCGCCGCGCGCGGCCGTTGACCTCCTCACAGCTCGGTTCGATGCGAACAAGGCGACTGCGCTGAATTATGCAGCTAGCCTCCTCCTCCCGCACCTCGCTAACCGTCCTTTCACTCCGCTCGAGATAAGACAATCGGACGTAAACAGCTGTCATTTATTGAAGAGTTCCCTCGATTTCTCCAAGATCCCATCATCAGATCCTAATCTGACCATCATCGATTACCATGGGATGGAAAGTATATTCTTTCAAACCAAAAAATAATTTTCCAAATCGGTTCAGGCATCTTCGAGAAATCGGGGAACAGAACATAAATAACCAAAAAACAACGAATTGAGAACCGCCTACTTTTTTAGAAGTCGGTTAAAAAGTAGGTAAAAACAAATCAATGAAATTATTATATAATAACAACATCTACTTAAATTCACATAAGAACTTTCATAATAACAACTAAATTGGGTTCATAATAATAACACCAATTTGTTTCCTCTCTCATTTCTCTTTTTAAAATACGTTACCCCCACAGCAGGATTTTCTCCAGTATCGTGGAGGCAGTTTACAAACATAAATTGCACAAGGACAAACATCCAGACTCGGAACAACTATTTGTAGGCCATACAAATATTTGTTCCGTGCGGGATTCGAAACCGCGGCCCCCAGCGCAGCCACTGCGCCACGGAGCTTTCAATTGCGGTTTGAGTTTATGTTGTCATTCAAAAAAGAATCGCAATATGTAGGTACGCGATGACGCCGTCGCTTTGCGTCACTCAGGAGTGCGCATGTGTGTGCGCATTAGCTTCTTACTGCTCATCACAGCGTCTATCTCTTTCGCACGTGAGGTCGGCTGAGATAGTATGCATTTTAATCCCGCCCACCATTTAGTTAGAGCTATCGGCTAGGGCCACCTTAAACGTATAGAAATAATTTTTTTTTCAGGAAACGACCATAATTTTTTTAATAATGAAAATAAAATTTCATTTGCAAATTGAATGTGATTTTATAACCTCTAACTGACACGAGTATCGGTAAAGCGGGGTCTTTGACAATCCTCTTACTCCTTGGACAATGCAAACCACATACAATTTGTTAAGTTTTTTTGAAAAAAGTTATTTCAATACGTTTGAATACTGATTCTTATAACGTTCTTAACGAGAACCACAGGGTTTTTGTTACATGTTGTATGAATGCTTAGGGCCGTAGGGACTTATTAAAGCGATGGCGTAGCTTTTTTGACCTTTAGTTTTTTTTGTAAAGGTTAATTTTTGTATATGTACGTATAAGTACGTAATATGCTTGTATAATCTATTGTAATATTTAAACGATCGCTGTGTGATGGCGGCGTAAGAAAATCAGTTGTGGATTTCATTACATAACGTCAAATTGGTGTCGTGAGAGGCGACTGAGATAAACTGATACACAGAACGACGATATTCCTTGAGACAATCTATGGGCGACGCCTCTGTTCAGCAGTGGATTTTAATAGTCTGTCTAAGGCAAGTGGAGTTTAGATGTGGGAATGTGTAAGTGTGATGTGGGAGTGTTGGCGCAATGTGTCGGTGGCGTCGTGTCCGTGTGTAGTACACACGAGGTATGCAGGAGCGTGTACGTAAGGTAGTGCATAATGTGTCGGTGGCATCGTGTCCGTGTGTAGTACACACGAGGTGTACAGGAGCGTGTACGTAAGGTTGTTCGGAATGTATCGGCGTATGGTGTTCGTGTTGTGTACACACGAGGTGTGCAGGAGCGTGTACGAGGCGGGTCGTGCGGGCGTGCGGCGGGCTGTAGCGGCGGGCGCGCGGCGGCCGGTGCTGGCACTGCAGGCGCTGCGGCCGGCCGACCTCGGCCTCGAAGTGGATGGTGACTGGTCGCGCAGTGAACTGGTCGCGCTGCTCGCCGCGCTAGAAGCGCTCTACATAGTTAGCCTAACACTTATTTTTCATCATCATTACATTCTTTCACAAATCCACTGCTGAACATAGTCCGTACCCAAGGAAAGCCACAAAGTATACCCTTGAACCACCTGCATCCATCAGTTTCCTGCATATCTTACCAGGTTTTCACTCCATCTAGCGGGGCGGGGTTTGTTTGAATGACATAATATGCGTTTTATTTAAATTAATTTTAAGATTATTGTCATTCAGCAAGCTTATTATCCTGTTTAAATTCTGAGTTATGTCCGATTCAAATGTGACCTTGTTTCGTCCCGTGAATAAAACTGTACTGTCATCAACAAATAAGGTCATAGGGTGCTGAGTCACTTGGGGCAATCATTGATATATATTAGGAATAGTAATGGACCAAGTACGCTTCCTTGTGGCACACCGTAGGTTGTTTGCTTTTGTTGCGAAAGGTATGTTATTTCAATATTAGTACACGGACAGATCTTTTTTATTTTAGTAATTTCTTTCCTATCATTCAGGTTTCTATGTCATTCTGGCTATAATTCAGTTAGCGTATAAAGAACATTGTTTGTATTTTAGATAATCATAAAATGTTCTTTCTAAATTGTACTTGTTATACAACGTTGTACGTGGTAGAGCCACGCTGCAGCTATATTATAGTTATAGCACGAATAAGTCGGCCCGACCAGGGTAAAATAGCAGCTTAATGCTGTTGTGTTTCGTATGGTGAGTGTAGAGAACCGGAGACCCCTTTTTACTGGAAACGAGACATTCCATGTCAGTTCACAGGAGTGACAACGCATCTCCATTTTATTTTTAATTGAGGATAAATGTAAATGTCTATGGGCCATAACATCCAATTACGTTCAGATTGACTGTGTGTGCTTGCTGTTTATCAATATTCTATAAAAAAGGTGTCATGTTACAGCCGCTAGAGGTGCGTGAGTCGTACCCGGAGCGGCTGCCGCGGCTGACAGCGCTGGGCGTTTGGGCGGCCGCGCTGCCCGCAGCGCTGCAGCCACTGCTGCGCACCGCCGTCGCACTCGAGCGCGGCAGGTACATAATATGTGTTCTACCGGGAGTGGTTGTAGTTGCTGACAGTGCTGGGCGTGTGGGAACACGAGTTGACCTGAAAATGTGCCCGAAAGTAAGATTAATACGAAATTACGTGGAATCACGCCTTAAATGTTTGTAAGATTACTGGCGCAAATATTAAGAAGTTTACGACCAAATTAATAGGTCCTTACATATAAAAATGGCGTTTTGTGCGGGAGGAATGTAAAGTCAATTTTATTTTTGTAAAATATATTTAATTAATCAAAGTATGCACCGTTGTTATCTATGCACTTTTGCCATCTCATAGGTAGTTCATTGACCCCTTTACTAATAAACCATGGGGGCGAGAATCAATAAACTCTATGAAGGCGGTTTGGACTGCCGCATCGGAGTTTAATTTTTTTTCCTTGAAAGAATTTATTTCCTTGTAAAAAAAACATGTAGTACTTTCTCCTCAAAGGTGTTTACTAAGGATAGATACCGTTGTTAGGGCTCTGGCGCGTGACATCGGCGGCGCGGACCCGGAGCGCATGTCGCCGCCCAACGTGGCCAAGCACGTGCGCGACGCGTTCGCGGATAGCTGCGTGCGCGTGCGCGTGCTGGACGAGCCGGACGAGTTGCGGCGCCGCTATCCGCTGCTGGCCGCCGTCGCGCGCGCCGCACACACCGTGCCGCGGCACCGTGGTACGTGCACCGCACCACGTGTACACACACATACGCACACACCGCACCACGTGTACACACACACATACGCACACACCGCACCACGTGTACACACACATAAGCACACACCGCGGTACGTGCACCGCACCACGTGTACACACACATACGCACACACCGCACCACGTGGACACATGCACACACACCGCACCACGTGTACACACACACATACGCACACACCGCGGTACGTGCACCGCACCACGTGTACGCACACATACGCACACACCGCACCACGTGTACACACACATACGTACACACCGCACCACGTGTACACACACATACGCACACACCGCGGTGCGTGCACCGCACCACGTGTACGCACACATACGCCCCCACATACGCCCACACCGCACCACGTGTACACACACATACGCACACACCGCGGTGCGTGCACCGCACCACGTGTACGCACACATACGCCCACACCGCACCACGTGTACACACACATACGCACACACCGCGGTACGTGCACCGCACCACGTGTACGCACACATACGCACACACCGCAACACGTGTACACACACATACGCACACACCGCGGTACGTATATATATTTATATATACCCACCACACAAGCACGTACTAATACTAATATGCAGACACTCGTAGGTCGAATGCAGTGACACAGTAAAATATATGTGAACGTAATATACTGAAATCATTATTAACTGAAAGGAAAACAAGACAATTTTATTAATTTTTCAAATTATGATCGTGAATTTACTTTTAAAGGCTTCGAGATATTTGCATTTTAATATACCGCCACGTTTTGACGTTATATTGCTAGATTATACTGCTGTTAAAAGGATAACTGTGTGTATTAATGTGTACATTCTGTTACGATACCAGCAAGTTTGTTCGTGACGTTTTGTTGTGCGTATCTCGAGAATAAACTACGATATCGCTTCCGAACTGCGTGTATATAGAACTACGCTGCAGCCATATAGTTATACACGAATGGCTCGGCACAAGCTAGGACAGGATCGCGCTCTCAAAGAATACTAGCGTAAAAGCTTAATGATGTTGTTTTCATATGGTGGTTTTTTTACTGATAAAAAGGTATTCTATCATATTTCTCAACAGTAGATATAAGTGTCTCTGGGATTCAGCGTCCACTTACCATCAGGTGAACTGTATGCTTGTTCGTCAGTCTTTTTCTATATAAAGCCAATTTCATTCGACGTACATTGCGCAATGAATACATCTTAAAGTTTTCATTTTAATCGGGTTTTTAGTTTTTAACAACATAAAATTCGTCCAAAAATGTCTTCAACTAATATTATATTCACTGATTTATTATACTGGTTATTTGGGAATATATAATCGTATTAGTAATTGTTGCTTGCAGGTTGTGTGATATTTCTAGATTACGAGCCTGAATCTTATGACGAGACTATAATGCTGGTGGGAAAGGTAAATTATGATTGCTTAACTATATGCATTTGAATAAAATCTTATGATACTTTTTTAGAATTTAGAAACAATCCTAATTTTTCATATATCAAGCTTCAAAACAGCCTGTAACGTATCGGTGTCGCTACGATGTCCAATGTCAGAATTTAATTGTTAGCCGTATCATTGATATAAAAATAGTGCAGATTAAGACAACAACTGTGGGTGTGAGAGTGAGATATTATGAGTAACTCGCGTGCAGTCACTAGGTACTTCAACCCCCCCCCCCCCCCCGGCCCCACCTAAAAATGATTAGCATCGCGCGCTTGCTTCGCGTGGCGCGGCGTTTATAAAAATAATCTAACCTTGAATTTGTCGTACATTTGCTTTCACTAATAATCATTATAAATTTCAATGTAATACTTGCTTCTGTTTATTTATTATGTTATACTACTTGTTTCAGTACTTTTAAATCATTACAAATAGATTTTCATTGTATTTTCTTAGTTAAAAATGTACGTACCCAGTACAGGACAGCATCTTGAATATCACAATTATTTCTATATATTACTCGAAATTATTTACGTAAAAAGATAAATTATATTCACACAAATACTTTTATAACAATTTTGTAATAAAACACTAACAACAAACAAACTAAACACTAATAAAACATTACAAAAATCCAAAAATAACCATAAACTTACTACTTTTTATTGCATTAAAGGACAAGTAGTCTCTAAATATAAGTTTTTATGGGTTAAAGTGCTGTGGGTGGGTGCGGTCTCATGAGACTGCTAGGGATTTGACGGAATGTATCCGCGGGCTCATGCGACCGCTCGGGGTCTGAGAGGTTAAGTATGACATAAAAGGCGCGAAGACCAATTGTGGTGTAGTCGAATAACTGGTACTAGTATTTACAGAATGAATATTAATTTTTATAACTACTTTTATTTTTGTCTACATACATCATATTTTCGTAAATATATTGAGGTACAAAATACCATACGACCTTATGCTATGAAAATAGCTAAAATTTCGCCGTGTAGTGACGGTTGAGAATATCCACAACCCCATATCTTCCCGTGGGTATCGTAAGAGGCGACAGAGGGAGACAGGCAGGAGATGGGCAGCAGAAAACTGCGGTTGCCAACCCACTCGCCAAGCGTGGCAACTATGGCAAACATCCCTCCATGAGCAACGACACAAGCAAACGGCCCCCAGTCCCCGGCAGCCCCGCTATTCCTGGCTACGTTGGCGACCATGGTAACGGCGGGGCAGGGGGTGCTAAGAATCTCCGGTGGAGGTTCGGTTGCCACCTACGACGACTCGACCTGGCAACATATAACGTACGCACCCTGAGGACTGACGAGAAGATCCTGGAGCTGGAAGAAGAGATAGACAAGTTGCGCTGGAATATTATAGGATTATCCGAGGTCCGAAGAGAGGGGGAGGACACGGTGACTCGAATCCGGCAATTTTCTTCTATTCTATCATCGGGAGGGCGACCATTAGTCCCAAGGAGGTGTTGGATTTATCGTCCACAATTCTTTCGTTAACAACGTTGTAAAGATTGGGAGTGTATGTGTTGCGTACCTTATGCTCAGAATCACCAAATGGTATTCGCTGAAGGTCATACAGGTTTACGCACCAACGTCGAAACATCCCGATGAGGAGGTGGAGGAAATGTATGAGGATATTGCTGCATGCTTTCCTCCAAAACTCACTATACGGTGTTAATGGGAGACTTCTACGCAAAACTGGGCACAAGAAAGAACGGTGAGCTGAAGGTAGGAAAATTTGGGACAGGGCAACGGAACCCAAGGGGCCAGCAACTGGCCGACTTTATGGAGAAAGAGGGACTCTTTATGATGAACTCTTTCTTTCAGAAGAGGCCCCACAGAAAGTGGACCTGGTTGAGCCCCGACGGTTCGACAAAAATGAAATTGACTTCATTATGACGACCAGACGCCAACTGTTCAGCGATGTCTTAGTTATCGCGAGGGTGAAAACTGACAGCAATCACCGAATGGTTAGAAGCACCCTAAACTTAAACGTTAAGTTGGAGAGATCTCGTCTAATGAAGTCAACGCTCCGTCCCCCTCGTGCGCTAATCCAAGGTCCCGAAAACATTCAGCTCGAATTACAAAACCTTTTTGAGTGCCTAGTAGACTGCAATACAGTCGATGATATGTAAGACAAGTTCGTGGAAACTGTCCATGCGGTTGGAGCTAAGTTCTGCAAGACCTGCCGCAGAAGAACACAAAAACCCTTCGATCACACTCTTAATCTCATGGATGTTAGACGGGAGATGAAGCTGCAGTCGTCAGCATACAGGCAACTGAACAGACATATCTCCAAATGCATGCGGCAGGACTTACGCAACTTCAATACAGCTCGTAATGAAGAAGCGATTGAGCGTAACCAGGGCTTCAAAGTCTTTGCCAGAGATCTGCCTGCCAGAAAGAGCCAACTGTCAAAGCTGAAGACTGAGTGTGGTGGCATCGTTTCCGGAGCATCTGAGATTTTGAGTGAGATTCTATGGGCAGCTGTACTCATCATCGTTGGAGCCACACGCAAGTGTAAGTGACGATCCAAAAGCAAGCGAGGCGGTTGCTATATTTACTGATAATCTATCAAAAATAATAGATAAGCATACCAAACGCATAATCGTGAGCCGTTCTAATTATAATATAAAACCTTGGATTACTCCAGGTTTAATACGGTGTATAAAACATAAAGATAAACTACATATGAAATCAAGGAAGAATCCAAATGATGAAACTTTTCTCCTCACATATAAGAGATACCGCAATTTCTGTAATGAACTTCTATTTAAGTTAAAAAGGGAATATGAGAAGTGTCAATTGCAAGAAAGCCAGGGACAGCCAAAGAAATTATGGAAAGCAATAAAATATATATGCAACATTACTACATCAAACAAAGAACCAACTGAGCTATTAAATATTCAAGGATCTATAAGCAAAAAAGAATCATTGGATATTTGTAATACTTATTTTTCCACAGTTGGTCAAAATTTAGCTCACAAAATTCTAATTGAAAACAATAATACTGAAGAAAGTCTAGTGCAAAATAGTAAAATTAAAATACAACACACTCGTTTTATATGCAACCAACTGACGCTTACGAAATAGAAAACCTAATATCAAATCTTTAAAATGACAAAGCGCCAGGAATTGATGGACTAAGTAATAGGCTGAGTAAGCATATTAAGAAATTTGTTACTGAACCACTTACAGTAATAAACAACTTGATTATTTCTAACGGTGTATTTCCAGAAGTTTGGAAGACTGCAATCGTGTATCCTGTATATAAAAAGGGCCTAAAAAACTCTCCAGATAATTATCGACCCATTTTTCTGCTGAGTGTTTTTTCCAAACTTCTTGAGAAATTGGTTAATAAAAGACTAATGCATTACTTAGAAGCATTTAATCTGCTCTCTTCAAGACAGTTTGGAATTAGGAAAAGAAAATGTACTGAGGACGCTATAACCACTTTAGTTTCACATATATCTTCTTGCCTTGACAAAAACGAATGTTGTATTGGCGTATTCCTGGACTTAGCCAAGGTTTTCGATACTGTTTCCGTTCCTTTACTATGTCAAAAGCTTGAAAACGTAGGAGTCAGAGGATTAGTTTTAGATTGGCTTAAAAGCTATTTGTAGAAATGGAAGCATTGCGTGAGAGTGGGCACTTATATAAGTGAAATGCAGTATGTTAACTATGGTGTACCTCAGGGAAGTATTCTCGGTCCTACTCTCTTCATCATATACATGAACGACATACATCAGTTCAACTCAAAACATTCAGAAATACTATGTAATGCTGATGATACGGTACTTTTATACAGTGGAAAAAGATGGGATGATACCATTTCTGTGGCGAAACGTGGGGTTTCTCAGGTTTCTCATTGGTTATTCAAACCTGTTAACTCTTAATGTCGAGAAAACTAATTATATTTGCTTTCATAAGACCCGTTCGTCAACACCACCTACTGACAAACACATAAGAATGCATCTTTGCACGACTGAAAATAATTTTGTGTAGTTGTGAAAAAATTCAGAGAGTGGAATTCATTAAATACCTGGGTATATTAATTGATCATAACCTTAACTTCAAGGTGCATATATCGGCATTGGCAGCAAGAATTCGTAACATAGTTTACATCATGAGACGGCTGAGAAACTCTGCACCCCTGAGCACATTAATGACCATCTATTATGCCGTATGTCAGTCTCTGCTAACGTATTGTATTTCTTGCTGGGGAAGCGCTTCCAAAACAGTCATGATAAGAATTGACAGAGCTCCACGTTCGGTCCTAAAAGTTATGCTTAACAAGAAATACAGGTATCCAACAGTTAAACTTTACTGTGAGATATTAAAGTATTTACAGTTCGGCAGCTATTTGCTACATGTATTCATAGAAAAATATTAAGCTCACATAAATACAGTGAGCTGATGAAAAAAACGTGTGTTTCAAATGCCATTACCAAGCGTTCGCACAGCTTTCGCAAAACGATTTAGTACATTCATTGAAACACTAATTTCTAATAAAGTTATGAAGGCATGCGACATAAGAGATTGCTAGACGAACACAGCTAGAATAAAAATACGAAATTGGTTGCTTACGCTTAGTTACGAACAAACAGAAAAGCTATTTCAAACATTGTCATAGTAGCTACGTGCCCAATATTGATATTGATAGCAGTAATTGCAAATTCAAAATACAGTAATATTAACAAATTATAATATCTATGAGTGTGTATGCATGTATATGTGATGTATGTATGTAAAATATATATATATATATATATATAATGTATGTATGTTTGAGTATATATGGATGTGTATATATAATATATTTAATGTGTGTATATATGTTTAAGTATATGTTTATATTTATAGACCATAAATAAATTGGAGTAGATATTTAAAGGGAAAGCTTTGTAAAGTCAGCCGTGCACAAATTTCTGTTTTTTTGTTTATTTGTGTATATGGCTC